CTTTGCCTTCTGATTGTCATTATTTACAGAAGAGGGACAAAGAGATCAGCAGGCCAAAAGAAGAACACGCAGCCTTGCATCAGACAGTGGAAAGCCTGAAAGTAGAGAGCAATCCTGTGTCATAGGATGGAGTTGCTAGAAGTACAATATGTCAAGTTCCAAACTGAAATTGTGGCATGCTCAAGATTGGGTAATTTACTCATTTGTATGCCACTTGAATGTCATGTCATACATTTCTGTAACTATAACAGCATCACTACAATGGGAAACAGATGCTTAATTTGCGCTGGTTGAATGGCCTGCCTGAAATATTTCATTTATTATTGTCACATGTACCTAGGTACAGTAAAAGTTTTGTTTCACGTGCAGTACAGTCAAATCATATCATACAAAGATCATAGGGTGATAGAACAGAGTGAGAAATACAACATTACACAAAATTGAACAAAAAGCAAGATCTGTTGGTCTGTGTGTTTAAGCTTTAGTATCTTCTGGCCGACGGAAGAGTTGGAAGAGATTATAACCACGGTGGGAGGGATCTTTGATGATGTTGGCCGCCTTTCCAAGGCAGCGAGAAGTATAAATGGAGTCAATGGATGGAAGGTTGGCTTGTGTGATGGATTGGGCTGTGTTCACAACTTTTGTAGTTTCTTACGGTCCTGGGCAGAGCAGTTGCCATATCAAGCCATGATGCATCCAGATAGAATGCTTTTTATGGTGCATCTGTAAAAGTTGGTGAAAGTCCTTATGGACATTCTGAATGTCCTTAGCCTCCTGAGGAAGAAGAAACATTGTTGTGTCATCTTGGCTAGCGCATCAACTTGGGTGGTCCAGGACAGATTGTTGGTGATCGTCCCTCCTAGGAACTTGACACTCTCAACCATATCCATTGATGTAGATAGGGGTGTGTCCTCCTCCTTGCTTCCTGAAGTTGATGATGAGTTCTTTAGTTTTGCTGACGTTGAGGGAGAGATTGTCATCTTTACACCACACCACCAAGCACTCTATCTCTTTCCTGTATTCTGTCTCGTCATTGTTTTGATATCCGGCCTACAATCGTGGTGAAGTCAGTGAACTTGTAGATGGAGTTCGGAAGAAATTTGGCCACACAGTCATGAGTGTACAGGGAGTACAGTAAGGGCCTGAGTATGCAGATTTGCAGGGTGCCGGTGTTGAGGATTGTCACGGAGGAGGTGCTGTTGCCTATCCTCAGATTGTGGTCTGTGGGTCAGGAAGTCAAGGATCCAGTTGCAGAGGGCAGAGCTGAGACCTAGGTCTCAGAGTTTGGAGATTAGTTTGGTTGGGATTATAGTGTTGAAGGCCGAGCTGTAGTCAAAAAGCAGAAGCCTGACGTAGGTGTCCTTATTGTCCAAATATTCCAGCAATTAGTGTAGGGCTAGGGGATGGCAGCTGCCATAGATCTGTCATGCCAGTAGGCAAATTGCAAGGGATCAAGGCAGGCTGGGAGGCTAGAGTTGATATGAGCCATGACTAACCTCTCAAAGCACTTCATAATTATGCAGGTCAGAGCCACCAGGCAGTAGTTATTAAGGCATGTCGCATGTGTTTCCTTTGGTACTGGGATGATGGCGATAAAACAGTGATAGCAATTATAATTGTGGTGGCAATGTTGCAGCAAGTATACCAGCACCAGCAGCAGAACCAGGTGAAACAACACCATCACGGAACCAGAATCACTCTCAATGCTTTTCAACCTTGGAGGGACAGCCAGTGATGAATGGTACACCCCAATTAATGTTCGGGTGTGAAGATTGGGAAAGTGCATTGACCAAGACATTAAATTTAAAGTGTACTCTGTTGAGTTGTATATCTGTTATGCATAAAACCTTATTGCATTATGAACTATTGTCTGGGACGCTCTTCACTGTTAAATATTTCTTTTATTAAGATTTTAAATTGTTTTAAATGCACTTTGTTTGTGGAATATACACAGAACAATATTTATGAGATCCCACATCACAGATCCAACACAAAACTTGCAGCAGTTCTGTCCAAACGTCCCATGAAAGCTGGACTGTGGAACTTTTTTTGATGATTGCCATGGTCCTGCAGTGAGGATGCAGAGGGACATATGCTCCTGCTATTATCACTTGCTAAGCTCCTGAGACTCTGCTGCCTCCCAGGATTTGTATTGAATTAGCATGGTGCAAATCAGGAGTCACTGCAGTAAACTAACCAGTGGTAATTAAGCCAAACCTCAGGACTCAAGTTACAGGTTTAGAATGAGCTATGTATTTTTACTGTGGCAGTTAATGATAGAAAAAAGACATTTTTATGAATATAGAGTGCTTTCTGCAAGGAGTTCCACGTGTGTTTTTGAGCGCTTTTTGTTTTGCTGCAATTTGATTGGGCAGAACATTTTCTGTAGAAATGTAAATGTACGAGAGTGGTTCTGTGAATTATGATTAGTGAGCATTAAGAGTGGGACAAATAATCATTAAGAAATGAAAAAACAGACTTGGCCAATGAGGAAACAGACACATATTCAGAATACGGTCACATTTCACAATTTTTATTTGATAATAAAGAGACATCTATTCTCCCACCCCATCAGAAGGTCACTGTGTGGTTTAGTGAGCTTGTTCAAGTGCTGAATTCAGGTATTAACTCGGCGGTTAGCATGGCAACTGTGGAGTCATATAGCACCTTATCATATCTTTTCAAAATGCTACATAAGAACATCACTGTCAAGATCACTTCTGCCCACATTTATATGCTTTCCTGTTGAGAGTAGTAGCCATGCTAGATTTTCTGCTAATTAGAACTGCTGAGGTTTATTGCAGCACTGCTAATAGTGCTCTACCTGAAAGCAGCTAACTCAGCACAGACCAGGAATTGAACCATAGTCTATCTAGTCTGTAATGATTGTGCTGCTTTCACCAACTGAGCCATAGGCTAATGCGTGAGTAAGAAAACTTATTTATATAGCGCTCTTAATTAAATAGAATATTCAATAATTGCAGGAGTATTGTTAAGAACATGAGACCAAACTAAACAAGATATTAGAGCGAATACTCAAAAGCTTGGTCAGGGAGGTTGGTTGAAAGGGCCATCTTAAAAGAGGAAATGAGATAGAGGTGGAAGGAGAGCAGTTCATAAGAAAGAAAGCTTTGTGATTAGAAAACACATCTTCCTCAAATCACTTCCCTCACAATTAAGTACTTTTTGAAGTATGTTCACTTATGTAGGCAAATATGATAACCATTTTGCGCACAGCAGTGATCTACAAACAGCAAAGCAATCAAAGAACAATCATTTAGATCAGGAGTTGTATTAGGATACTAAGAAAATTCCTGAAAACTCACTTGTCCTTAAGTAATGTCATTAACATCAACCTAATCTAATAGAACAGGGTCTCTGTTTACAGGCTCATACAATTCTGATAATGTGATATTCCTCACCACAATACTAAATGGTTTGCTTAGATTATTATACTCAAATCCTGAACAAGGGTATGAAGCCACAATGTTCAAACGTGGAAGTGAGACTGTCATTAACTAAACCAAAACAACTCTTAATCAGACACATGGATGAAGCTTGTGTATTTCATTTGTCTTATTTTCATCATTTATCCACTTGGTTTCTGCCAACTCAGATCTATACCCCCTGTACCAAATGATAAGAGAAAAATCAATTGCTGTTGTGTAACTAGTTAGGAAGAGGCACAGAGTTATTCCCCACTCCCCCCCAACCCCTTCCTGTCTGTGTACAAGTGACTTGGAGCCTTGGATCTCTAGGAATGCACAATGTGGTCAGGGAGCTGAATCCCTCCACAAATTAGCTCGGTACAATAATACAGAGGTTTCCAAACAGTGACAATTTTCAGCCCATGATTGATGACAATCCAACCCACAAATCCCACACAAGTCAATTATTTTCAAGCTTTTAATCCTAACTCTCGGATTTGTGCTATGTGATTTCAGTAGGCTGAAGGCTTGAGAGGGGGGTTGTTCTTGGTACTCGTGGATGAGAGACTCCAAAGTCAGGTCCCAAGAGCTTCCAGAGACTGATGCAAGACGTAAAGAGATGAAAACTTGGGAATGTTCTACATTTGTGAAGCAACATCATGTGCCAGCCATCGAGCCACCTTCTCCACCTCATTTGCATCCTTCTTCTAACAAAATATTTCAATTGAAATAAGATGCCCATATGACTTTCAATTGTAATGAAAGGTGTACTGTATCAATTTTGGGATTTTTATTTGGGTCAGTCCTGTGAAGGTAATTTTTTTTTATTAAACAAGTCATTTGGAACAGTGACTTAAGTGCATTAGCTCCAAGAAAGCATGTGACTGCAGAAAATGCAGTAAAAACTTAAGTGTTCTGAAAGGAGTAAAATCTCTCTGAAATTGAGTATCTGTAAAAGGATAGTACTGGGAACCAGGTTGAATTTTTTTTTGTTTTTGTTAAGGTCTTTCTAATAATTTTACTTATATATGTGTATACATACAGCTTTGTTTGTTTTCTTTCTTTTGTGGTTTAAATTTATGTTGTTATTTTAGAATATCTGCAACCTCATGTAGATATGTTTCAGTGATTAACCACCACAGAACCAATTGCAAAAGTTAAACATATGGTCTATCAAACCAGGTTTCAATCTGGGATCTGAGATGTCCATATTACCATCAGCTAGGATCATAACAAATAACATTGAAACAAGAACTAGCAATAGAAGAAAAAAAAACTGGCAGATCATTTTGACCGAATCAGTAACACCCTCAGTTTCTCCTCCTTGTCAAGGGATTAAATCACGTAATGACCACAATATGTCTGGTGTCTGAAGAAATAGAAATATCATCATCCTCCTTGACATATCGTTTGGGCATATACTTCACAATGCTGGCTGTTAAATGATCCCGAAAATCTTTGTGTATAAAGTTGTAGAGAATGGGATTTATGATACAGTGGGAAAAGCTGAGGCACTCCACCATGTCATACAAGAAATATACTAACTGATGCACAACACAGTCAAGAAATGTATCCAGCAAGGAAAGAAATACAATTACATAAAACGGTAACCAGCATAGCAAAAATGCTATGATGTAACCATATATTATTTTACTGGTTTTTATGCTTTCTGTGTTACTGGAATTTTTCACAGCTCTTGCAGTGAAAATATTACTCAATATAATTATAGGCAAAGGAATGATAAATCCAAGAATTAATGTCAGAGAGCTTGTAACATACAAAGATAACATATGAGATAAGTAGCAATAAATATACACAACTTCAAAAATTTCAGAATGTACAAACTGTGGTATGGATAGTAGTACCGCCACAGTCCACATGCACACGCACACCATCCTACGGATTTGACGGTCTCTTGATCCCTGGGCTTGGAATGGGTATCGCAGCGAGATGTATCTGTCGACACTAAAGCAGGTGAGGAAGAAAATGCTGCTGTACAGAGTGACAAAATAAATGAAGGAATCAAATTTACACAGAAAGTCTCCCCAGATCCAGTGGTAATTGTAAAAAGTCTCTGCCATCCTTAATGGGATGAATAAAACGGCACACATGTCAGCGATAGCCATATTAAAAATGTAAAGGTTGCTTTCTTTCCTGGACCCTTCCATCCGCCAGTTTATCCAAATGACAATGATATTTTCTATCAGACCTACTAAAAGAATGAATAGATAGAAAAAAAACATTGACATGTCCAGTGCCTTGTAATCCAAAGATATCCAACACCTGCAGCTATAACCATAGCACTCATCACTGTTGTTGACATGCAAGCTGTCGTTAGGGGTAGCCATGGCTGAGCCCTCCTTGTAGAATCTGCAGAAATGAGAATGATTTGTAATACTAAATGAAAAAAAAGTATTTTGATCAAATACATTGTCCATGAACTGCCTCATGAGTGTAACTTGCCTGGATTGATGTCAAGTTAAATAAATCTGGAAAATCCCAGATTCAGTCTGTGTTGACTTCAGTAGCAGGGTGGTTAAAAGTTGCCTGAGTATCCCCGGGGCAATAAACAATCGGGAAACTGCCTGCTGGAAATGATAAAATGATAAAACATAGTCAAGATGCCCCCTCAGTCAAATACCCCGCTAATATTCACCACCTAGCCTGCACAAGAAGAATGTTCATCTGGGTAGAAACTAAAAGAGTAC